CTATATGGCGAAAATGGACAGATTCAATAATTTACCAATACTGAAGCATCTCTAATAACAAATGAAAACCAAATCGAATGCTTCGAATTTATTTCTTTTGAAAAAGAAAGAGATAGAGATTATTTGATGTCAACAATGAAATTGTATTTAGGAAGAAAAATACTACGAATTTGTCCACTTAAGCTTAATTACGATATTGGCTGCATTTTAGAACAGAAAGATATGGGCATATTCAGTTCATACAGAAATGCACTGCATTGTCCAATTTTAAATGAAAATACAACTATTTATATAGAAACAAATGAAGTGATTCTAAACATTGGATTTAATGGTACTTTCAATCAAAATGTTAAAACACTTAAATTCAAAAAGATCAATGAATATAATACAAATTTTAAAGATTCAAACACTGCAAATGTCATTTATATTTCAAATGAATCAATTAATAACAATAACATATCAGTCTCCAACAAAAATATTAAACTTCTTGTTGGGGAAGAATATGGGTTTAAAAATACTAATAACATTACAACGCAAATGAATGATGTTGTGTTTAATGATAAGCAAAACTGCACTGCTTTGTATATTGACAAAACAGATATATCATGCAAATACTATAAAAATTCGTATTTACTTGATAATCAATGCAAAAATTATGATAATAATTGCGGATTATCAACAACACAAACAAATGTCACAACAAAGGTTTGTGAATCGTGTCCTGATTCGTATCATTTTTACAAAAACAGGTGTTTTAAGTGTTCAAATGGGTGTTTAAAATGTGTGAAGGAAGGGTGTGTTTTATGTGATACAGGCTATTTGTTGGTTCAACAAAATGGAGTAGACATTTGCGAATCACCAAATAACACCATTTTAGCCAAACACAATCTAATTATGAAATGCGAAGAAGGGTATTACTCTAGATATGCAGAGTGTGTAAAATGCGACTCAAATTGTCTGGCATGTGTTGATGAAAGCATTTGTACAATATGTAATAATAAATATATTTTCAAAACAAAAAGTGTGAATTACAATCAAATGCATTTTTAACAGACAACACCAACATAGTTTTGTGTTCACAAGGGTTTTATTACAACGTTGAGAATTTACGATGTGAACAGTGTAAAAACAAGTATGGAGAGTCATGTGAAAAATGCACACCAACATATTGTGAGAAGTGTGAAGATAGTGTTTATACCAAAAACAATTTGTGTGAAAAAGAGATAACGACTGGATATTCTTTAAACGACAATGTATATTGCACAGCTTGTAACTCAACAAACAAATTTATCAACGAAAACGGACTTTGTGTATTATCCAACAATTGTGATATTTCAAACAAAAATGGGAAATGTGTGACATGTGAAAATACATATGTCATAT